GGGCCCAAAGCGGACAATATCGTGCTATGGTGGTGGAGGGGGCCCGGGAAGTGGTCCCGCCCGGGCCGGGATGTGACAATTTGGCATCAGAGCCTAACCCTGGTCGTGGTGTGCCGACGAGGACGTCGGGCCCCTAAGGGGGGTGGATTGTGACATCCCACATCGCCCAGGGGAGTGATCCTTATATGTATATTCCCATCCCTACCTTGCACGAGGCCTTTTGGGAGCTCACTGGCTTCGGGTTTTGTAGGAACTCCGAAGTTAAGCGAGAGGGGGCTTGAGCAATCCCATGATGGGTGACCCACTGGGAAGTTGCTCGTGAGTTCCCAAAAACAAAACCGTGAGGGAATGGTAAGCCCAAAGCGGACAATATCGTGCTACGGTAGTGGAGCGGGCCCGAGAAGTGGTTCGTCCCGGGCCGGGATGTGACAGATTATATTCGTAAGAGTATAAGCACGCCGAATCGAGACCAAACTATATGGGCATAGGTACTCAAATGTGATATATGTCTTGATGGTAAACGTAGTTCGGCCGTCAGAATGCCGAACCCTGAAACTTACTTGCGAGTATCCAATCATAAAATCACTTGGCGTCCAATGCTCCGAGCAATGCAATTCGTAACACCCAACTATGCCGAGAAGGCTAGTAAGATGACCCCTACCAACAAGGGTTTGAAAAACCCTTCTTCGGCCGAGACTTAGATAGGTAATCGGTCGACTTCGAGGCAGTGCTGTTTATCCAAACTGAAGGTGCTTCTCAGTCAGCTGATTCTACGGCGGCAGTGTTGTTTATCCAAACTGAAGATGCTCGCCGGGTGCCTCCACAGTGCTGTTTATCCAAACTGAAGGTATGTCGGCGGAAAAGAAAAGGAAAACTCTCAAGGTATTTGAGAGGTTTTGCGCAGGGCAATTGTATGCTGGATTGAAGACCCTTTTCTGTTGCATGATTTCTTGTATTTATAGCACCCCATTCCTTGAGACCAATTCACATTCTGACTCGGATTGGGAGTCTTTGTCCCATTTCAACTCTAACTCGAACAAACCTACTCCTACTGGGATTCTGAATTTTCCTTCCTTTCGAGGCTTTATTCTTAGCCGATCGGGAATCCTGGTCGCACCAGGACTTCCTCGACCTTTTCTGTCTATCCGAACTACTTAGGATAGGATTTGGCCGACCCTGCCAACTGGCCCGGGATTTATTATTCGGCCCATAGTATTTGTCATCACCTTGGCCCGAGCACATCCCGCTGCTCGGCCTAACAATAATATTTTGGGCCCAAACAGAAACACCATCTTTTTTATATCAAGACATAATTGCATTTGCATTCATAATTTAGGGAGTACATCTAATATCAAGAAAGTAATGTATAATTTTTTTTAAGGAACCGTTTAATTAAGAAAAGTGCTTAAAAGATTGATATCGAATTTTTTGCGATGAATCCTTTGATGAATATTATTTTCTTTGGGAATGATAGTAACCTTCTCGTTTTATCTTCTCGATTCTCCTTCTCATCCTACAATGTGAAATGATAATTTGAACCGTCTACTATTTAGGTCATTTTTTAAAGATCACTCCTGCAAAAAATTAGCTAACTCTAAAATTGTTTAGTCATTTAATAGTTGTACACTTGATACACGAATCATATTTCTCACTTAAACACTAAAATTTTGTCGAGGCTAATTGAACGGTTAAACGATTTCTTTTCTTTTTTTTTTTTTTTTTTTTTAGCAAAGTTGATCTTTAAAGTGTGATCTAGAAATTAAACAATTCAGATCATAAAGTAACGTAGTAGAATGATAAGAAAAGCCAAGAAGGTAAAACGAAAAAGTTCAAGCAAGATGGTTCTTAGTATCTCCTAATTTTTTTCTTTAATCCATCAACATATTTAATGTTTTTTCATACACTAATCATTTGAGTTATGGGTTAGTGGCACACGTGTACGCAATGAAGTGGCTGTAGTGTCCCTGGTAGATAGGGTAGTTTGGGGCTAGTGTGTTTTTGTCTTGTGCCAATCACAAATGCTTGCATGAGCTTAGTCATAGATTCATAAATAGACCCCAACTCAAATTGAGACGAAAATACCTTTGTAAATTTTTTCGATTTCAAAAATGTGAACTGTCTTGACAAATTTACTATTATTTTATAAAAAATCTTTTCAATTGACGTTCATTCTCTATTTTGTTAGAGAAGATTTTAAGTTAGAACTCACGACAAACAACAATTGTTAAATAGATGCACTAGTTTCGCACATTCGTCATCGTTTAATTAAGTTTATGACTTGAGTTTTCACTTGTACAATAAGAAAAACCAGTGCACTCGTTCATCGTTATTTGTATGATTGCTTCAAACGTGATGAATGGGTGCACTTGCTTTGATGCTGTACAAATGGCACGTGATGCACACCAAGAGAAGCTTCCGTCCGCAAAGAGTCGTATACGCATGGAGAACACAGGGCAACATGACTAATGGCTCCCACAGGTAAGACCATTTTATGACGTTAAGATCATAGTGATAAGGCGATCTTAGCCGTCAATTTAATAAACATTATTCTGTTTGACTTTGGAAAATAAAAACAAGCAATATGATGAGTGTATATGGCCACGTCATCAACGTGGGTCTACGTGGTTGTTGTTAGGTTGCTGATTAGGACCCCCTTAAGCCAAATTTTCAACCTTGATCAATTAGCATTATATGAATTTTGTGAGCTGCAAAACCTGGAAGCAATGAATGTAGATCTTCATTCTCCGAGACATCGATGGAAACCTTGAGTGGCAGTTGCAAACAACAGTTTTTTTTCTTCTTTTCTATTTTTATATCAAATGTCGTCCACAAGACTTAGCCAAACGTAAATAATACTTACGCGAAAGTTGTACGCGTTATTGCATGACTATGCTTTTCAGCAATTGGGATACAAATATGGAAGACGAATGGGTTTGGGTTTCAACTGTTCAAACAACCCAAGTATAAATGTTAAAAAAGAGAATATTAATGGTTTCAAACGACACCAAAAGTTGTGTTTGTACTTTCATTAAAATCAACCTAAAATGTTTGATGAAATGTCTTTTCATTGCGAATAATGTTACAAAAAGGAAGTTAAGTTCGACCAAAAAAATAAGAGAAGGTTAAGAATTGTGAGGTATATAGTAGGTGGAGGTTATGGGGTTGTAACCTTCTTTAGTTATCGTGCACTATTTTAACAAGTGAAATGTTAATTAAGCGGACTCTCTGATAATTTATGTTTTTGTCATAATATTTTATAATGTTGGAATAGAAATTGACATTAAAATATGAGGTGACAGAGAGTTCATGAAGATTCTTACTTTATGAGAATCTACCTAACATTTCTTTTTACGAACTCATTTTGACAAAATTTTAACTGCACCATCTATCATATCCACGCTCTACCAATATTAAATCTCTGTAATGATTATTTATTTAATAGAAAATAATAGAAATTAAACTCATGGCTTAATTTTGGAGCTATTCTTGTGTAGATTTTTGGGTGACGGTACTCATTTGATGGAAAATAATGGAGAGCTCTTGCTTCAAGCTCAGGGCTTTGCTGATTTAATATATTTAGTTAGTGTCTACATCACTGGACCCTAAATATGAGCTTCTAAAGTTTTCTGATAAGTTCTGGTTTGTGCCACTTTGGTTTGCACTGTACTCCACGGGGTCCACACTCCACTCCCATGATATATCAAGATCTTCCTCTCTTGGCTTGAAATCCTTTGAAATCTTCAAGTCAGTAATTTGCAGTTTGTATGCATATCTTAATGAGGTACCATCATTTTATCCCTGTCTGACGATGGAGAGAAATTTACCTGTAACATGGCGTATATTTTTCTGTCACGAAAAAAATAAGTACAATTGAATAAACACTACGTTGCAACTAAGTTTTAATTCTCTTTATTGAGAATAGATCTGATAGAAGTGTATGACCAAGTCATCCTTCGACCACCTCTAACATCAGCATAAGGCTCTCGTATTTTAGTTTCTCTTGAACTTATGTTAATTCTACGTAGTGTGAGAATCATTATATTCATACGGTGTGAGAGCTGCTTTAATATATATGTGCCTATCTTGAGCCAATCCTAGCATATACAATAGGACTCGTGCAAAACGAAGTACAAACTCTGATATGGCTACGAATATGTAAGCCCATTCTTACATTAAAGCTCAAATCCAGTTTTGCCCTTTCGAAGGTGCAAACTTCAAAGACAGATTATGGGCCACCATAAACCCAATGTGCAATGTTTCATAAAAATATGTCAAAATGCTGCCAATGCAAAAAAACTTTCAGAAGAGATTAACCATATCAGTCAACCACAGAAAATAGTTCAGGTTCATATTTCACGTCTTGATTTCGATTTTTGGCACTAGTGAATTAAACGATGGTGACCATGAGGAGGTTAAAATGCATCTATGAATCTTCACAACTTAAGAAAAAAATGAAATGTCGTGGTGAAGTTACCAACTGATTATTTTTATTAATTAAAAAAAACCACAGAAAATAGCAATAAAATTCATAAAAACGTGACCTTAGAGAAAAGGTTGAATTTACATTCCAATTCAGCAATCGGCAGTTAGAGAAAAAGTTGTCCCATAGGTTCAAACAATATTCACATGCAACACAAAAACAACCACCATCTACAAAATGCTACTATCAAGCGTGCGTTAGTATTTAGAGCATTTTCAGCCGTTTGTGAATGTCACCACATTTATCAACGGTTGAAATTAAAGATCATTCACTCATCTGTGTGTGACTGATGGTTAGCATTCATTCCTCTACATTAACACGTGAAAGAAAAACGAGGAGAAAGCTGCGGGCAAAGGACGTTCAAAATTTGCGTTCTATCACCAAAAACACACCAACAAAATAAATTTTACCCTATTTTTTATCCCAACGAATCATCTGCACAATTTCCTCTAGACCCTTCATTCTCTCTCCTTTCTTTTACCACAAAGGGCAGAGACAGGGGCCAATAAAAGCCCTCTCTTTTCTTCTCCTCACAGAAACAAATTAAAAACACAATTTTTGTGTACGTACGTTCCCTAACCCTAATTCAACAAACACCAACGATGGGATTCAAGCTCTACCTGATCGCCTTCATGGTGGTATTGGCCATGGTGGCTAGGTCATCAGCCAAGGTCCACGATGCCTCGTGGGGTGTCAGCCACTTCGTGGCTCATGATGATGAATCCTTGATCGACAGCACCAACAGCAAAATTGGCGATGTCGGAGAGGAGAATGAGTTGTTGATGGATTCAAACAGCGGTCGTAGGACACTCCAAGGCACCACCAGGTATATTGGCTATGGTGCCCTGAGGCGCAATGCTGTTCCATGCGGACGCCGCGGCCAGTCCTACTACAACTGCCAAAGAAAGGAGGGAGCTAACCCTTACAAGCGCGGTTGTGAGTACATCACCCGCTGCTCCAGACGCTAAATCTGATCGAGGATCGATTCTATCCAGTTAATTAACATGGCAAATAAAAAGTACGTACTTAACAAGGATATATGGCGAAGAAAGAATGAAAGTGGGATCACTCAGCGATCACCATCAACATTCATGCTTGCACGAGTTATATAATTTCCTCGTTTTTGTGTTTTAATTTAAAAGAAAAAAATAATAGGATGAATGTGTTTGTTTAATATTGTGTTTTTTTGTATTCACATTTTTGTGTATGTGTCTATTATTATGTATTATTAAGGAGGAAATGAAAATAAGATATATGTACTTGGGTACGTATGAATTAAATAAAATGAGGAATCAGGAGTTTTCTTCTTCTTTTTGTCTTCAGCAGCTTAATAATTTTCTATATGCTTGCTTGTGAATATCATGCATGCAAATTACGACGAACCATTAAGGCCAATTGCCTTTGATAATTATGGGTGGTGTTATTCACAAACTCATTTTTACTTCCCTCATACTTTTTATTAATTTTTGTCCTTTGATTTTCTTCAATTCATTCTATCCAACGGCCAAAAATTGAGAATAATGTATAAGAGATAAAAAGAGGTGTGTGATAGCACATCCCATAATTAATTGTTTTGCATCCTTTTCCATATTGGCTTATTTCTCCTCTACTTGCATCTAGAAATAGCATTTGGTTGCAGTTGTACAAAGAAAATGAATTTAGCACTTCTTTTTTTTCTCTTCCTGCATTTTCTTTTTTCATTTTTTGTCTTTAGATTGAATAAATCGAATGAGAATCAAAGGACATAAAGGCGAGGAGATGAGTGGAGATAAAGAAAATGAAAGAGGGGAAATCAGTTTTGTATAATAGATATATCTCTAGAGAAATGACAAGGAGACTCTTTCAAAGTGTGGCTCTTTATGAACTTTCCACCACTTCATATTTTTAGCACAATATTTTAAGATGTTGGCACATAAATTGTGCCAAAAACATGAGGTAGCGGAGAGTACATGAAAAATCTCATTTTTCAGAGAGTCAAGCATTTCTCGTATCTCTATTACCCCATAGAAAACAATACAGTGGGATTAATTAATGAGACACACATACACCCAAAATTCTTATCTTTTCGTTTAGTAAAATAAAATTTGAAGTTGGTAAATTACGCAAAATCACACACAGAAATCTCTATATAGCTTTACTTGCAATTTGCTATGCAATAAGCTGTCAATTAGTTATGTTTATTTTTTAATAATGACACATCACGTGTTTTGTAAATGTGGTCCAAAAAATTGGTCTATATAGCATTACTAAAAAGTTACTGAAATCGAGTGCATGGTGATGTCATCATGCTACAAAGATTCGGCTAGGTGGCCTAAGGTTTTAGGGGTGCTTGGCTCGATCCCAATCCCAATATAACTAATTACTCTTGTAGTGGTAATGCTGGGAACTAAATGTGATGATTAAATTTTGTAAACTAAAATGCATAAAAGTTAATAATTAGATTATTACTTAAGTGTTAATTAACGTGCTATTTCTTAACGGTGACGTATTATTTAATTTGCAAATTTAATCTACAAATTTAGTCTACTTAGCATTACTCTTGTAGTATAATTTACAAGGAGGAGAAATAAACGGCTAGGTGGCTTAACATGAGAGATAAACGAGGAGAAAGAAACGGGCCGAGGGCATTCAAAATTTGCGTTCAATCACCAAAAACACACACCAACAAACTAAATCTAAGAGTGCATTTTTGCTCACCATCATTGAGTGTAGTGTATGTACATCATCCTATTTATCAATGTTAGATGAGTTTGAATTTTGAGATTTGTGCTTATCCACTACACGAATCTCGAAATTCAAACTCATTTAACGGTGATAAATAGGATGGTGAAGATACACCACACTAAATTGTAGGGAGCAAAAATGCTCCCTTAAATCTAGCCCTCTTTTTTTTATCCCAACGAATCATTTGCACAATTTCCTCTATATCCTTCATTCTCTCTCCTTCCTTTTACCACGAAGGACAGAGACAGAGGCCTATAAAGCCCTCTCTTTTCTTCTCCCCACACAAACAAATTTAAAACACAATTTATTTGTGTGCGTACGTACTCTAACCCTAATACAACAGACACCAACGATGGGATTCAAGCTGAACCTGATCGCCCTCATGTTGGTATTGGCCATGGTAGCTAGGACATCAGCCAAGGTCCACGATGCCTCGTGGGGGTTCAGCCGCTTCGGCGATCACGATGATGAGTCCTTGATCGATAACGCCAACTTTGTCGGAGACGAGAATGAGATGACGATGGAGTCAGAGAGCACTCGTAGGACACTCAGACCTCGTTTGACAGCTCGGACTGTACTGACTATTTCAGTCGGATATGATAAATAATCATTGGATAGTACAGACTAAATTAGTCGGGCGTTTGGTGAATGTCAGACTAATGAGACCGTATTGTTTTTTTTATGTTTGGTACTTGTTAATAATATTTTTAAATTGATAATTCAAAAAAAAAAATATTACAAATGCGTTTTTAAAAATAAAATTTCACAATCCAAAAAAATAAAAAAAAACGAAAAGCAAATAAAAAACCATCAATTCTTTCGTCACCATCATCGTCTTCCTTTTCTTTCATCCACCAACCAATCAAATTTGCAAAAGCAAATCTCCAAATTATTGATCGGAGATTGCTCACCCAACAAGCAGAAAGTCCATGTCCATGCTTTACAAGGGAGTCAGTGCAGCCAAAAACGCAGGTGAAAAAAAAAACCCAGTTTTGAGTTTTTAATCCATTGAAACCAAAACCCAGATGAAATCTTTTCTAGTTTTGAGTTTAATCACCGAACAACATCAAAATCAAATAACAATTAAACCAAAAACTCAGATAATGTCTCTCCACAACGGGAACGGCGTGACTTGGATTCGATCTGCCACCTCTGGTTTTCCGTTCAAAATCTGCTTGATGCTAATCAGAGGTGGGGATGGAGAAAGAGGGAGAGAAGGAATACCTTAGTTGAGGAGTTCCTGATGTGTAGAAGCAGATCGCAAGATGGTTGGAGCAGTTATTTTTGCTTTAGCGTGAAGTTCATGAACCCGACTAAATAATACCAAGGTATTGGACGGGATAAGCAAGCGAGCGTAAGGGGTATAAAAAAGGGGCTTTTGGATCTAGGTCCAAAAACATAGATAGTTTTTGGGACCGAGTCCAGTTATCCAATTACATATTTTGATATCAATTTTACCCTTTCAGATAAAAATATTTAAATTCTTTAATTTTTTTTATCATTTATTCAGTTTTTAAATTTTGAATATTTAAATACTCAAACTAAAATATTATCTAGTAACTACCTACTATTTATGAAGAAAACAAGACCGATATAATCTAGTAACTACCTACCTATTGTATAGGAAGAAAATGTTTTATACCTACAAAGCAGATATAATCTACCTGCAAAACAAAAATAAACTACCTATTGTATTGGAAGAAAAATGCTGGCAACCTACATGGCGGAACATAAAAATATAAATATGATATAATATACCTCCATTAAAGGAACGGATTTGGAGGGAATAACACAAAAATATCACCCATGAAAAGAAGAGACAAAAAAGAGGAGGATTGATAGAGGGAATTGTTTGGAAGAAGGAAAAAAGGAGGGATGAAACAGACTGGGGGTTGAGGTGATTATACGGCTATAACTAATCCTACAATTAAGGGATTAGTTAAACCACAAATTATCTCATAATTAAGAAATTTTGTGTATTTACTACAATTCGTAAGCCTAAGGGGTAAATATGGTACAAACCATAAATAAACATACATGGAATCTCAATTATTGGACCTATTTCAATGAAGTGGACTAATTCTACTAATAGCTCACAAAATTGGATCTATATCAAGTTATCCCTATAAAAAATGGTGGGGCTGGATTAATAATCCGGTGCTTATTTAGTCCAAAACTCACCAAACATCTATTTCATATTATATAGTACAATTCGGTGTCTTATACGATGTGCCAAACAAGGCCTTAGGCAACAGCAAGTTTATTGGTTATATTGCCCTAAGGGAAAATGCTGCTCCATGCGGACGCTGCGGCCAGTCCTACTACGACTGTCAAAAAAGAGAGCGGGCTAACCCTTACAAACGGAATTGCGAGTACATCACCCGCTGCACCAAACGCTGAATCTGATCGAGGGTCGATCTATCTTGTTAATTAACATGGCAAAAAAGAGAGAGTACGTACGTACAAGGATATATAGCGAAGAGGGAGAATGAAGGTGGGATCACTCATCGATCATCACCATCAACATTCATACTTGCAAGATTTATACAATTTCCTCATTTTTGTGTTTTGATATTAAGAAAAAAAAAAAAAAAAAAAAAAAAAAAAAGATGAATGTGTGTTGTTGAATCTTGTGTTTTGTTTTATTTTCTTTTTTGTGCATATGCCTATATTAAGGAGGAAATGAACGTACGAACATATGCCTTTTTTGTTTAATCAGGAGTTTTCTTTTTCTTTTTCTCTTCTGGAGCTTAATAATTTGCTGCATTCTTGGGAATATCATGCATGCAAATTACGAAGAACGAATTAGACCAATTGCCTTTGATAATTAAGTGTGGTATTCTTCACACAACATTTTTCACTTCTCACACATTACTTGTTAATTTATATTTTTTGATCTTCTTTAATTCATTCAATTTGCACAACATTACTTGTTAATTTATGTTATTTAATCTTCTTCAATTCATCCAATTACCTTTGATAATTAAGTGTGGTGTTATTCACACAACATTTTTCACTTCCCACACATTCACACAACATTTTTCACTTCCCATACATTACTTGTTAATTTATGTTCTTTCATATTCTTCAATTCATTCAATTCGACAACAAGAAATTGAGAGAGGTTTGTGAGAAATAAAAAACGGTAATTGATGAAAATGAATTATGCACTTCTTTTTTTTCTCTTCCTACATTTTCCTTTTTCGTTTCTTGCCTTTTTTGAATAAATAAAATGAGAATGAAAAGACAGAAAGATGAGAAGACGAGTGCAGAAAAAAGAAAATAAAAGAGCGGAAATCAATTCCCTACTATAAATATATCTCTATTAATTACCTCCTAGAAAACAGTACAGTGGGATTAATTGATGGAACACACATGCACCTACAAAATTCTTATCTTTTCGTTTAGTAAATAAAAATTTTAAGTTGGTAAATTAAGGGAAATCACACACATAATCTGTAGTTTTAATCTGCAATTTGTTGTGCAATAAGCTGTCAATTAACATGTTTATTTTCTATTACTAACATATTATATTTACAAATGTGGTTTAAAAAATTAGTTTACCTAGTGTTACTAAAAGAATAGTGAGATCGAGAGTGCATGGTGATATCATGATGCAACTAAGAGTCGGCTAGGTTGCCTAACGCTTTAGTAGTGCTTGACTCGACCCCAATCCCAATCTAACCAATTAATCTTGTAGTATATACAATACACGTCAATGTTACAACATATACGAGTGAGAGTTATGTTGTTAATTGCTTTAGAAGCTAATCATATATAAATTAGATCTAAAGACAGATTAGGTTGAATCTAATATGATGAATTGACCCAATGGATGAAGATGACCCTATCTTTAGATTGAACCACACTCTACTCGTTGACCATCCAATCTATTGATCCAAGCTTGATTCTAGGTCAAATATTGGACTAGGTAGACTCGTTTGGACATTTAGTGTACCGGATCGTATTTCCAACACATTAAAAAATTTCTCCCAAGCTTGATTCTAGGTCAAAGTATTGGACAAAGTTGAACCCTCCTAAGAACTCGTTTAGAAATGTTTTTATCATAATAAGTACTTATGGAACGTTATATACTATAAGTGCTTTTACATAAAACTATCAAACTTTTATTGGGCGTTATCCTAGAGAGACATTTGAAAGTGCTTCTTGAAAATGCACTTGAAATTCTTCCTAAAAACATCTAGATTCTAGTTGAAGCCATTTAATATTTAGTCAAACGTACGCAAAAAGCTCTTCTAGTTTAGAAAGCACTTTTAACCTTCTCATAACCATTTCCCGTGTTAAAAACATTGGTGGCATGACATAGTTGATGTTTGATAGACCTTAGGGTTGGTTTGGTATTGCTATGCTTTGAAAAAAAGCTGTTTCTAATGTGCTGTAAGAATAAGCAGCTGTGAAATAAAGCAACAGAGTGTTTGGTAAACTTTTTTGTAAAAGTGCTTTTGAAAAAAAAAAAAAAAAGCAGTATTATAGTGTTTGGTAAACTTTAATGTAAAACGGATGTGAAAAAAAAGCTGGGTTTTGCAGCTTCTTGTTTTTGGCTTTTTTTCATCCAAAACTATGAAAAAAAGCTGAAGCTAAATGTTTACCAAACACAAAAACAGCTCCCAGCTTTTTCTTATACCATTTTTTTTGAATCACCTCAGTACTAAACCAGATCTTAATACAGTATTAATGAATAAATACACGTATTTTTTACCAAAATTGATCCACAAGTAGGTGATGGATGTTGATTGGAGAGAGGAAAGGCCAAATGGGTGTCCAAACAGTGCACATGGAAAGTTTCAATTCGCAATCAATCCTCAACGGCCATGCTAGCATGGTGCAAAACAAGCAAAGCAAACAAAAAGCACAAGAAGCCAAGCAGTCTCTTGTTAACCTGCACTACACTTGCCATGTTTTCTGGCTTTCCCGTTTTGATTTTTCATCACTCTTTCTTTCACTCGGTCTCTTTTTCCTCTTCTTTCATCATCACAAGTCCCACATTCCTCCTCCTCCTCCTCCACTTTCACTATCTCATGTCCCCCATCACACGCTGTTTTTTTTGGTCTTTTTTTTTTTTTTTTTTTTTTAAAGTCAAAAAGTAGACTTGAAAATAATGTTAGATTTCAACTAAAGAGGCTTGGGAACCGCCTCGGTCGGAGGCGGAGAATGTCATTATCATCTCCACCCCGACAGAGTCATCACCCCTTTGGTAGGAGACTCTGTCAGAGATTCGGGGTCTAATAAGTTTTCTTATTAAATTTCTCACAATTAGAATTTTTTTTAAAAAAAAAAATTCATTATCTTTGTTTATATAATACAACATAGAATGAAACAATTACATGGTACAACAAAAACACAAATTAATGTTTTTTGAATTGTAAATCAAATAGAGAAATGTAACTTCTTTTTTTATGAAATTCGGGATTGTTTTGTGAGTAAAAAGAGAATGGATAGGGTAACTCATAAAATCTAAGTAGATGATGGCATGCTTTAAATCCAAGGTACACAGAATAAGATTGGACACAATTTTTCATTTTTAACTTCGACATACTTTGAATATGGTCGATTATCCAGTTCAATCAAATTTAAGAAACCAAATGTGATGAATTTGAACCACGTTATTATTAGCCTATTGTGAGGCTTAGTTCACTCTTTCACCCCTTAGTATACATAATATCGTCTGTTAGACAAAAAACATATGGCCTTAAAAAGAGACTCGGGGCGGAGACCGCGACCAGCTAGCAATCCCATTCCGGCTCAATACGGCGGGCACCGCGGAATAGCGGTGTTGGGGGAAAAATTGCCGTGTCCGTCTACTCTGGTTTGCATGATTGCTTATACACCAATTCAAACCTCCAACAAGAAAACTCAAACGAGTAGAAGATACCAGAATTCAATTGGGACCCGATAAATCGACATCTCGAGCCTCCTAACATAAACTAATCAGCAGCAGATCAGCTGAAGATTTTTGTACACTTGGGAAGTTTTCTGAGGCCGATCACCTCAAAAGCCAGATTGAAACTGAAGTCAAGATGATGCAACATAGGACAATTCAAATGGGTCCCGTGCCATATTCCATATCTATAGGTCACTTTCTCACCTATTATGATCTATAATATTATAGATCTACCATGCTTAGACTATGAATTAGTGCTTCCTTCCAAATTTCGAGAGAGGATTCTTACTGGATTCTTTTTGTGACAATTTCGGACAACAACTGCATGACGTGTAGTGCGTGTGGCCGTTTGGCTTTACACAAGGACAACCTGCTTTGATATAATGATGAAATTGAGGTTCCACCATAAAACTAATTGGCAATATGAGGAGTAGCCCAAGACCATATAAGCACATAACAAACCTTGTCCGTCACTAATGTAGGACAACTCTCAACAACGTGAGAAATATTTCCACACAATTTCTTGTTACGTACACTAATATTTATTTATGTTTCTTAATGTTCTTTTAATTTCTTCAATACGAAAAGCTAAAAATCAACGAGAAGAGATCCTCTCCAGATCTCTAATTGGGTTAAAGTTGAGAAATCATTTCTCAAGTTGGATTAAAGTGGAGAGACAATTGGTAATTGATTTTTAGTTGATGGACTATAGTTACACGTTTTGATGAGTTAAGGTACCAATGATAATAGATTTTTAGTTAAGGGATCATTGCTCCAATTGAATTAAAATTGAAGGACCATTGATACAATTTAAGGTTGATTTGATATTGTTGTACTTTGAAAAAAAAACTGCTTCTGCTGTACTGTGAGAATAAGCAGCTGTGAAATAAAACAGTAGAGTGTTTGATAAACTTTTTTGTAAAAGTGCTTTTGAAAAGAAAAAAAAAAAGCAATATTATAGTGTTTGGTAAACTTTTGTGTAAAACAAATATGAAAAAAGCTGGTTTTTCAAAGCTGGGTTTTGCAACTTCTTGTTTTTGGCTTTTTTTCACTCAAAATTATGAAAAAAAACAGAAGCTGAATGTTTATCAAACACAAAAAGAGTTCCCAACTTTTATTTATACCAGCTTTTTTCAGAATCACCTCAGTACCAAACCAGGTCTTACTCATTATCTCATTCGTTGATGACAAATCTTTTTATGCGAGCAATTTTCAATAAATATGATACAAGTAGCATTATTTTCTGAACAATCATGAAATATAAAATCATATCAACCCTAGGTGAAAAAAAAAATGAATGATTAATCTCATTTTATTTTATTTTATTGCGAAAAGACCCATGTAATAAATACAGCACTATCCACAAAGAATCCAGTCTGCTCTAGTTTGCTTGCCATCTTTACTCACTGAAAAATACAGCACAAGAGTCAAGATTCCTTGCCCATTCTTATACTCTTTCTTTGACAGCTATCCCTATGCTCTTTTTCCCCTTTCACTCAATCAATCCTCCTAAAGAAATGCTAAAGTGACTTGGACTTATGGATTCTCTATCATTTTACAATGTAATATTAATTTTCATATAAACGTCATAATACATTACATAAAAATTAAAGTGATAGAAAGTGGGCGAAGAGTTTTCTTAAGAGAGTCCCTTTTCTCATCGCCTATTCATCTCCACTACTCACACGGTCACAATTAATGTCAAAAAGTTTTGGAAGTAAAATTAGATATTGCTATTTACTTCCTCCATTTATTGAAAATAAAAAATAAAAAAATAGTTGGCAGAGACCATATGGAATTGGATCCCCTCCGAGATAATGTCTCAGGATTCTTCTGATTGGACAACACAGACCGTTAAATTTTGATCTAACGATCACAAACAGAAAATTCTTCTAAAATTATAATAATTGTAATCGTTAGATCAAAATCCAACGACTCGTGTTATCCGGTCAGGAGGATCCCGAGACATTGTCTCGGAGAGAATCCAATTTCAGACCATATCAGAATTCAGAACAGTAATTGACCCCCTCGTGCTGTGTATGGTGATTCATAATTACATTAAAATGAATTCACCCCCCACCACCACCCAAATTTGACTTATTAACTCCCAATTCAATTTATAGATTTATTTTCTTCCTCGTAAATAGTTAAACCAGTTGGTTAAGATATCCTTATCTATCGCTGCAATTTCAAATTCTCTTCACTTACTCATTTAAGAATGCAAAATTTCAATGCAACGATGTTTAAAAAAAATCATGCAATTAAAAGGTAAAACACATACGGGCACTTCATATGTTCGTTACACTACCACCTTCGCGTCTCCCTTTCATGTAAATCTTTATTGTATATTATAATATTTTAGAACATATATCACTTAAAATAATGTCTAGTTTTTTTTTTCACCCAATTGGCCTTTCCATATAAAATTAGTAACACAAAACTAAAAATTGAAATTTTATTCAATTTTCCACCTGTCCCTCCATTTTCTCATCAACCAAACAAGCATACGAAATAAGTTAAAATCAAAATAAAAAAATAAAAGAAAAAGGAGAGTCGTACATGAAATTTTAGAATTGCTTAAAGGCTCTCTCATTTCTCTGCAAATATTCCATTACAATTTACCCTCCCTCATCATCATAATAATCAATGTCAACATTAATAACACATTAAAATTACACAAAACTAAAAATTAAAAAAAAATAATCGAAAATTCATTTTTAATTCAAGAAGAAGATGAACCTGAAGCAGCTCTCGGCGACGTCGTCGGGAACAGAGGCAGCAACCGGGGCTCCGATTCCCGCGGCGTCGTGCTCGGGGACGGGTGCAAGTAAAAACCCTTTTCTTTAATCGCCTTCTCCTCCGCCTCCCTGTTCAAACTCGAGCACCCATTTGGATTCGGGCCGTAATTCGCCGTCCCGGACCGGTCAAACGGGTCGGATATCAGCGGGGTGACAGGGCTGAGAACCAAAGCAGGAAAGTCGAGAATGCTCGGAGATAAAATCTCGGGATTTCGCGGCGAGAATCCGGAAGCTGCGGAGCTAAAGACGGGGATTAGAGGGTTAATCCGGAGGTTCTTGAGGGAGTTCCGGCGCTCGTAGAGCTTGAACCCTGACCCGGATTGTTGTTTTGTGTGCGTGGATTTGATGGGCGGGATGTGTGTTTTCGCGTGCGGGTCGGATGTGGGTTTCGAAGAGGCTTGCTTAGCGGTTTCGGTGGAGCCGGTGAGCATTTGAACGACTTGTTTGAAGGAGGAGGTGTCAGCTTGGACGAAGGTGGTCGGGTACGGGTTGGTGGGTTCGGATCTGGTGTAGGGTTTAGGGGGCTGGGGAGTTGGGGTTGTTGGGGGAGCTCCGCCGTTGAGGTGGTGGTTGCTGTTGGAGCTGCTTGTGCTGCTGTTGGAGCTGTGGCTGTTTGGGGAGGGAAGCAAAGAAGGAGTTGGGTTATCCGGTTGGTGGTGCCTGGGTGAGGATTCCATTGATGGGTTCTCTGATTTATTTTCTGTTTGGTTGCTGAGAAAGTGCGAGAAAGTGAGAAAATTGAGAGAGAGGGAGCGGGAGGGAGGAAGAGAGCGAGTGAGTTTTTTATGAGATGAGACTTTCTTTTTGTTTGGTAAGAAATGTTTTGGTGAGTAGAGTTCGGGTTCTACTGTTGTGGGAGTCTCCTCACGCGCTTGGGAGGAGTGTGGTGCGTACATGTTCGATATCATGATGAGACAATGGAGGAGAGAGTTTTAATTTCTTAATTCATTTCACTAATTCTACTAATTAAACCAATAAATTGAGTTAATTGTAAAAATTAAAAGTAATAAACCAAATGTTACAGAATTATTATGAGTACTTCAAAATAATCATTTTCTTCAATTTTTTTTAAATCACATAATATATGTATCTACAACACTCATCACGTGATTGACGAATTAACAATTATCTTAAGCCCTGACACTTGATTGCAAACAAAGTTTTTGACCTTTGGAGTGAGAATTTACCTTGAGGGTACTATCCTTGGATCTACTTTGCAAATTGATCTTATGGTACAAATCATCCATCTCATAAGTTCGTTTTTAGGATTATAAAATTACAACGTACAAGCTCAAATATGATACTTTATTTTTCCCACTCACAACACTAGAATAAGGGAGAAAATAATTAAATCACCAATAAAAATCATTAGTATTATGTTTATGTGCAACAAAGTTGGCTTCGTGATGAACAAGCTTAGCTTTGTGATGAACATGATTTTTAACTTGCAACTAAGATAACATCGAAATAGAATACGAGACTACAATGTAGAGGAGCGCGTGGGCGTGAGTAAAAGGGAAGAAGACCAGCTGGTAAAATGGCATTGGTGGTCTTCGGAATTTTGGAAGACATGGGTGGAGAGGTGGGGCTTGTGAATCATTTTATAAAGAAAAAAAAAGAAAAAAAAGAAAAAAGCAAAAGAAAAAAACGTCAAAAGAGCTTCAAAGTTGTCATTGACTTTTAGAGAGAGTGGATTAAAGTCTTAACTACGCTACTTGACATTAAACAAATTATTTAATTAGTCAAATACCATGACCATGCATAGTGCACTTAATCTGCAGATTCCCCCACAGCACAAAACCAACTCATTTGTTATAAACAAGGATTAAACTCTAACTAAAATATCTTTAGATTTAGATGCAAACCAACTCCTATAGAATATCGCTATTTGCTTAATTAGTTAGAAGCATGTATTTTGGAGAATTTTAACGAAAAGTTTTCAGTACTGTTCACTTTAACGAAAAATCACATTTTTACACTAAAAAGTCAATCATAATACTATTCACTTTACTCTTTATTTCAAAATTTTCAAACCATTTTCATTCATTTTTCTTTTATTTTTCACCAGAAAATGGAGATACGTGTTCAACTTTGATAGGAACATTAAAATTTTAAATCATTAATAAGAAATAAACACGTTAATTGACACTTAGTTAATAATTCAATTATCTACAATCATATCATCTGCTTTAAAAAATTTGATCTCTCTAACATTCCCTTTTCAGTCTCACCAACTAAAAAATCTAGCACTTTTTTTGGTAAAATAAGAGAGTGGATCACCTAAAAAACTAGCTTAAAGAGTTATTACAGATAATCCAACGTAAATACAACTTTGATTGAGCAAGTCAACTATTTATGAGAGTTAACCGACCAACTAAGTATTTTTCTGGTTCGACTCTCCTTCCCCAATATCGTTTTATAAAAAAAAATAAAAAAAAATAAAAGTCGAACCGCTCAACCTTGTAAAATTACTAGTTTACCCACAACATTTACATTAAGCCAAGTTTAAACCTTGCAGGTTCATGACCTGTGGACAGCGTCAACATCTGCAGAATTTGCTGCATAATGCGTTTGTCATATGCCAATTATTCAGTGCAAGCATGATGGTACACGTAACAGTACCTCGACCACCCCTTCATTTTCTTGCGCGTATTTTTCGGGTTTTCCCCCATAAATCTCTTCTTTTTACTGGTTTCACAAGATTTTTTATGATATTCTTCTCGCGATGTGGTTAAATTTCTGAAAATTCAATTATGCTTCAATGTATAGAATGGATCAAATGAATGAAGCTTTGGATGTACGAATCCAACAATTAAAGATCATATGGTCACAAATGTTAAACATCAACAAGGCTTGACTTTCTTACAAGCTGGTTTGGTGATTCGAGACACAATTACGCAAATTAAACTTGCACTAGTGTCCTCGCTTGTATTTTCGAGCAACGTGCATCAATCACAACTATGGTTGTGGGTTGGTTTATGATGTCGGACTATATTTTGGCATAATTAGATTCACCTGTTTCTAGTTGAAAAGAGAAACTTCGATAGAGTTGTTTCTCAACACTGAGTAGATCAAATTAGAACAAAATATAAGGGGTCACGTGTTTTTATGAAATGGATATACAGACAACGTGGTCGGACATCCTACCCAAACTTTTTCTCGTAAGTCTCGTCCGAGTGAGGTCAATTTGACAATTGGTACATGTCCAATGTTGTCAATGCAAGACACCAAACAAAGCGCTAGTATTAGGCATATTATACAGTGATCAATAGACGGAAAGAACCATACTTCTAATCTAATTGAAGTTAGAAACTAATCAAGATTTGGAATCCGAATTTCGAAACTCCTATAATTCAGGCGGATGAGAATTTTCAAAATTTGGAGAAATGTATGTAGCCTTTGCCTTTACTACAAAGTCAGACAGAGTGATGGCCACATTGAAGTTGGCACTTAAATGCCGGATCCTAAAGTGAAAAGGAGAGGTGAATCCAATTCTCATTTATATTATGAACTAAAAGCGACGGGGAAATTTTATTTAAATTCATGCAACATTTTTTTACATTTAACTTAAAATTTTAAATGTTAAATGTCTATTTTATCATATTGTATAATTATTATTAAGTACAAAATGAAATTAATGATAAAACTCAAATTTATCAATATACCCAAACACTATAATTAAACCCTACGATCACTCTTTGTTTATCCTACGTTCATTCCGACTAAAACCCTAATAGCTGTCATAGAGAAAAATAAGTTTTTCTATTAATGGATGGTGATTTTGAAGTTTTGAATGCTCCAACCAAGGTATGACTCAATTTATGAATTTTTTGTTCGTTTGATTTCAATTTTTTAGAGTTTAGAAGATGAGTGTTCTGGTTTTAATTTTTTTTTTTCAATCAATCCTGCATAGTTTGATTATCTTTCTGTAACAGCAAATTACTGCAATCAATCTTTCACTGTCCATCTGCACCCCAAAAAATCAAAAAGACTTGCAGATAGTGCAAGGACCTTGGATTCCGTTTGCTTCTTGTATTTTTATATTATTATTATTTTCTTCTCTGTCGATGTAGTCTGACTACACCCCAATATCATGGCATCAATGTAGCTATTGGTGCAAATAGTATTGCTTAAAAGTTCTAATACAAAGTCTACACCCCAAAAAATCATAGCACCAATTTAGCTATTGGTGCAAATAGTATTGCCTAAAAGTCCTAGTACAAAGTCTACACCCCAAAAAAACAAGAAGACTTGCAAATATCTACCTAAGTTAGTTTCTTTAAAAAGAGTAAGTGTTATGGCTTTTTAGCGTAGTAAAAGCTTACTGGAATTTGGTAGAGATGGATGTGTTTATAGGGGAGTGGCCTGCCATGGTGTTAGGGTTTTACCTACAAATGGCGGCATCCTATTGGCCAAGATTTATGGTGAGAGTATTCTCAAAATATTAAATATGAAATAAAATCTTGAGATAATGTTGTAAATATCTCTAATTGATTTAAATAGGGATTACTTACTTGAATGAAGTCAATCTTCAATTGGGAATGTATTAAAGATGAGATTTGGGTAATTAATCATTATCTTTAATGCTTTGACTTTCCCTTGCCATGGGCAGGTGAGCTATGATCAATCGTATTCAGTTGCATGGACCTTTATGGGTGTTGAGCTATGCGTGAAAGTATCTGAGGAGCCTGCCCATTTAATGAGGGCAATCTTGTATTTCTTGAGCAAAAGTTCACGTTTCACCTCTAGAATTTTTGAGATCATTTTGGGCTCCACAGTAGTATCTCAAATTAATCTCGCACTTATTGATTTGAGATGTTGCATGAATAACATTGTTGGTTAATCGCACACTAATTGACTTAGGTATTGTTGTGATGGCATCCCAAGTGACACGAAAATTTTCCCTTCTAAAGGAGAAAAACTTACAAAAAAAACGTACATAAAATGGATTTGTCCACGTGACAATGTCTCAAACTTATCACACGCTGTCACGTATTTTAACTTTATCACATAAAATCATAATAATTGAGAAACTACTGCCACTTTTACATCCTCGTTTCATGTAAGTCTCTCTTTTTAAGAGCAGAGATGGATGAAGATTTCGATCTTTATCCTGAATTGGCCTATTAGACATGTCCATTTATGAGTGAAAATTGTAGACGCACTCATTGTGCACGTTAGGAATTGAATTAGTTGTGAAGACGACCTTTGTTTTTTGAAATCACAACATTTCTGCATATAGCACAACGTGGGGGAGCTTGATTTGAATGTCGTTACACTAAAGCCACACATTTAATTGGGACAGAAGAAAATCCAGGGCGTAATGCACATGCATGAAAAGGGCACTCGTTAAACTTGCTTTCCTTGCTCAATTTACATGAACTGGCGTTCGGGTGCATACGTGACTTCGACTTAGGCACACCACGGATGGCCCTTGATGAGTTGGGTTTTGGGCTTCATATAATTTGTTTGAGAAGCTTTGGTGTACCGCGGGCTTAACAGTTTCTGGTTTTTTAATTTAACTTCTTGGGCACGAGAGACTCTGCATGTTGCTTCCGCACGGGTAGAAGCTCGTGTTCAAGAATGTCTACGGGTCGGATTGAGTAGGATAACTCTAATGTTTAGTGGATCTTAAATCTGTATCCAAAATTGGGGAGATTTTGAACCTAAGCTCACCAAACACGTAGTAAGCATTTGAGTTCCGTAAAACTTATTAGCAAAATGGAGAGTAATACACTACTTATAAACACATGTAAGGTCTCTTCTCTCATTAATGTAGGATTCATTCTCAACATACCCTCTCATGTGTAGCGAATTTCAAGCCTAATATGTGGAGAACGCAACTCAGGTGATGTGGAGCACGTGTGACCGTTGGACTTTACATGTGGGACAACCTACTCTGATCCATTAAAGAAGGTTGAGGTTCCATTATAAAATCAATAGAATTCATTCTCAACATATATCACAACCCGCACAATTGTGCTAGCAGCATTGGAAAATATCAACAAAATTTGTTGATTATGTCCCCTAATGCTTCTACGAATATTATTCATGTTTATCTGTAAATGAGAGATCATAGATTCAACTTCGACTTCCATAAATAACGAGTTTGATCCCAAAATTATTATTGGCTCATTGAGTGATTTAGCTTTAACCTCACCCCAATATATATAAAATAATGGTTCAATCTCAAAACAAAATAACTTTTTTGGGTATCACCAACCACTCTTAAAGTCTATAGGTCAAAACTATTTGAGAGAACTATCAGTGTGAAATATATAGAATATGAGCAGGAGCAACGCAGTCACGAAATTAGTTTAGGATCCAAAGGACAAGCTTGGAATAATCAAGATCTATAGCGCTGGATTGTGGGGCACTAAGCAGAATTTTTAGAATCAAGAGCTCTGTCCGTATGAATCTATAAATCATTCATTACTCTTTAAACAAACGCATTGACATCGCCCAGGTAAACTATATATCGGACATGTTGGTTGATATATAATATCCGAACCAAAAATGCATACGGGTGTAGTAGGGTTTAGGGCATTTACATAGATTGGGAAGGAAGTTGAAGTTTTACCACACATTATTTATTAGAAGAACAATCGTTTACATATCTTTGCACGTTTTTGTATGTGACGTCCTCAAGACAAATACATGAACCACAAATATCGAGTAATATGAAGCATATGTACTTGTTTTCACAAGTGAGCCAACTATGCTCTAATATTATAAAGAAAGTTAAAGTTCTACTAACTAATTGGTAATGTAAAGAATAACTCTACTTCTTTATAATAACATGAGAAATGCTAAAGAAACTCCCGCTCTCCCGCTATCTCATGTTTTTTACATAATATTTTATAATATTGACACATAAATTGTGCCAAAAACATGACCCACTTTTGAAAGAGTTTCCTTAGCATTTCTAATCATATAAGGTTTTTAGCTTCCCATTGTAGGGCAACATTTCCTATCTTCACAAATTGAACATTTACGACAACTCTTACAATGCATTCATCGTGCCACAACGAAGCCAAAACAGAATTAACCACAACTAAAAGTATGAAAGGACTTTCACAACATACATGATCGTCATCCATATGAATCGAATTGTTTGTTTAAATTAAGACAGGAAGCAAGTTTAGTAAATGCCACATTGGACTCAACTAAAACTATTGGGCTATGGACAGGGATCATTTCCGGATCCCTTCCACCAAATCTACTCATCCGAATCCTTGAAATTTGATCAAATCGCTAAAAATAGAGAGCCTCTTTAAAAGTTGTAATAATTTTAACCGTTTTATCAAATTTCAAATGCCCGAATTGATAGATTTGATGGAAATGATCTAGAGAGAATACATTTCATTGGGCTATGGCCTATGAAGTCAGTGCATGATGCCCCAAAAGTCGAGAAAAATTATGGGGCACGATAATATCGAATATTACCATTAATTAATATTTATGATCGAGTAAATTATAAGTCTATGCCACTTGTTCACTTGCTTCATGTGCCATATTTAATTTGTGAAAAATCGGGTCAAATATGAAATAGAGGGATCCAAGGTCGGCCATTATACACTCTAACCAGTGGCCACCATAATCAAGAAGAACGGCATGGTGTTTTGTTAGATGTCACCCCAAACACCACCTCCCACAACGAGTTTGCCATTGAGACTGGGAATGTGAGTATTCTCACAATGGGGCAGTGGTTCCTTCTAGTCTCGCTCTTTTTCGTATTCACACGAATCGACTCGTTTGGTTAATTTAACATCATTCGTGTCAATGTGACAATGTCTATTAACTTGTTCTACATTTTTTACCATATGAAATCTATACTGAATAGTTTGTTCATCAAATTAATAATCGTTTGAGACTTAACTTTTCTTGTTGAACTTAAGATGAATACTCTAGTTCCCGCTCGGCATGCAAATTATAAAAGAGAGGGAATTAGACAATGTCAAGATATAATGGATCAAATTTTAACATTAGGAATCGTTTTTGCATGTCGCTATTATATAATCATTATGTAGTTATTATGTTATCGTTGTATCGTTGATATATAATCAATATATCGTTGTTACTAAAAATAATCAAATCTACAATTAAATATAAAAAAAAACTAATCATTCTAGTTAATTATCTTTAAATTTAACATAACGTTCGAATTAAGATAAATTCTAATAACGCAAAAAGTCAGACCTAAATACAAAAATCTCAATCTTTTTTCTCTTACCCAAAACTTTTTCCCTTGGTAGAAGCCAACTGACATCTTGTAACGTACAATATTCCCTCGTGGATCAAGGCTTTAGTCCTGTCATTGCCTCCACTTTTTCCTTTGCCCCATCCTGGTCTCAGTCTACTCATTTCTTCTTTAATGAATAATGTTAAAAAAATTAAATTTGTAAATTAAATGATGTATCATCAATAAGAATAAGCACGTTTATCAATATTTAAATAATAAACTAATTATCAACTTACGTATCCTTTAATTTTTAAAATTTTATCTTCAAATTTAATCTCGCTAGCATTAACTAAGTTCAGTATATTCTTTTGTTTTAAGTATTTAAACCAAGATTATCCGTGCAGCATCGCTAATTAACTCGAAAACCAAGACCGAAAGTGCCATTTAATTACCAAGATAATACAGGGTTTGATTCAACCCTCGGAGGCCTTGGAAACTTCTACATTTGTCTTGCTGCATGCAAAAGTATTCCAAATATATTGGCCACTCGTTGCTGGGCACGTGACCCTCTGTGCAGCTTGTCCACAATTTCTCCTACATTTGAATATTATAGTAATTAGAATGCATTTAAATTCAAACCCTACTTATTTAAATCTAAATAAAAACTTATATTTTGGCCAATAAAAACCCTAGTTGGCCTTGCCTGTTAAACATGAGATCTCGTTAAACATGAAGTGCGTGTTAACGTAATGTTTCCAATTAACTAGTCTTTGGAAAAGGCCTAGCAATTACATGTGGTACATTTACTGAGAAACGTGAGTTTGGATAGTAATTTAAATAGAAGCATTTAAAAACACTGTATATACACATCAAACAACAATTTTATATCTTTGACCTAAAGCCAATTCCAAACCATGACCTAAAACCTTTTTTTTTTTTTTTTTATTTCCTTCTGTTCCCCCTCCCCAATCCATTCTAACTCAAGTTCTAATTTGGACCTAAAATCTAAAACCTTAAAAAAAGCCAGAAACAGCTCAGGATTTAGCCCAAAAAATGGTGTGGGCCTCATCAGTGAGAGTGAAAAAAATTGATGTGAAGCACAAATGCCCAAACCCACTCTCTGGACGCGCCCAACGCACTAGGCCCAAAATTAGCAGGACCCCACCAACATGGGCATGTCCCCCGCATGTCAGTTTTCAAAGATAGCCTAATGGCTAGTTTTTGTGATCCAACGGTCCACATTCAAATTTTTTTTATATTTATATATTTATTAAATCTAATGACTGAAATAGAATATAATCAAATCTAATGGTAAAAAAAAAAAAAAAAGATCTAATGACCCAAATTTAAATCCAACAGCTAAAATAATTAAAATAATTATTTAACTCAAAATTCACCTAAATTTAGTAATTTTTTAATATTTATCGGAATGTAAATATTTTTAGGTTAAAATGTTAATAAAATTAAATTAGGATAGTGTACATAATTTTTTTTTTAAATTTACTTAAAAGAAAAAATTAGCCTAAATTTATTCTTTAATAATCTCGGGCTAAAATTTAGGCCATAAATGTTGAATCAGAAAAACTATTTCTGGATGAAAACCTAAATTTTCTAGGCTAAAAATTTTAGGTTTTAAGCTTAAAATTGAAGATGGTCTAAGAAGCTAAATATTTTCGTCCACAAATAACATTTTCATTCTTTTTCTTGTTGTTTTCCAGTTTTCACATTTCTAAGGTCCATCGTATCTCTTGCAAATACCAGCCCAGCCCAATCCATAATTTGAAATAAATTTACCAAGAAATTCCGCAGGGAATCCTGGCTTAAATTCCTATAAATCTCACTCTCTTGAGCTCCTCACTCCATATCTCTAGTCTCTCTCTCTCCTCTCTCTCTCTCTCTCTAGAAAAAAAAGAATAGAGAAAGAAACAAAATATGGGTTCTCCTGCAGTGTTTGTGCAGCTCTCAGTCCTCCTACTGAGCTGCTTCGCTGTCTTCGGTGACGTAATTACCACTTTACCCGCCATTCCTCCACACCACAGCATTCACTATTCTCACCCAGTAGCTTCCCCAACCCACCCACCGGCACACCCGCCTACTCACGGCCACCACCACCACCGCCCACGCCCACACGCTCCCACTGCCTCCCCGGTTCACCCACCAGCTCACTCTCCGGTTCACCCACCAGCCCACTCTCCGGTTCACCCACCAGCCCACTCTCCGGTTCACCCACCAAACCCCCACCACCACCACCACGGCCACCCACCGGCCCACGCTCCCACCCACGTTCCGGTTCAGCCTCCGAGCCACCCGCCAACCCACCATGCACCACCGCCTCACCCTCCGGCTCACAGCCCGGTCCACCCACCGGTTCACCCACCTATGTACCCACCTAAGAAACCTTTCCCAAGGAGCTTTGTAGCGGTTCAAGGCGTCGTTTACTGCAAGTCTTGCAACTACTCCGGCGTCGACACCCTTAACGGCGCCAAGCCAGTTCTTGGTAAGTCCATGAATGTGGTCATTTTATAAATATTATTACATACGTCACATGGTTTGAGTTTACCCATTTTTCTAACAATGTGTTTGAATTAATTTTTTTTCTTTCGTTTTTCTGGGCAGGTGCTACAGTAAAGCTCCAGTGTAACAACACAAAGTACCCATTGGTTGTGAAAAAAACCACGGATAAGAATGGCTACTTTTTTATCACGGCACCAAAGACCGTCACCACCTTTGGAGCTCACAAGTGCAAGGTGTCGCTCGTCTCAGCACCCTCCACCGCCTGCTCCAAGCCGTCCGATCTGCATGGTGGACTGAGCGGTGCACTCCTGAGGCCTGTGAAGCCATTTGTCTCCCAGAAGCTCCCATTCCTTCTCTACAATGTTGGTCCATTTGCCTTCGAGCCAAAATGTCCTCGTTAATTTAATTAAAAGTTCAGTAAAGCTTGTCTTAATTAATGGTGCTTTGTACTTAAATAGTAATCCTAGATTAATGTGCTATTGTTAGGGTTTCCGGTTTCCCCCTGCATGGTTTGAATGAATGCCTGTTTGGAAATAAGGCTTTGTTATATGGGTTACAATAATGAATGGTAATTGATCTGGATTTTGGTTTCGTCCATATAATCTTGAATTAATTATATGTTAAAGTGTTTTTAGTAAGACGATATTTTAATGTGAACTTGAATTTAAATACAAAAAGAAGACAACATCGTTAGGATTTTAACCCAAGGTGCATATACTGACACACTGTGTTAGTTTAACTTGTAGTGAAAAACGATAAATCTTCAACGGTCGGATACGTTCAGCTTGTCCTGTGGCAGACATGATCGTAGCTTTCGTTTCGGATAAATAAATAAACAAATTAAATAAAGAAAGAAAGCAATAAAGTTGAGCCTCGGCATGCATGCATGCAGTGTCTGCTGCACTGAGCTTGAGCCATTGGATTCTTTGAAAGGTCCGTAAAATCACGTCGAAGAACCCTGAAAAGGAGCCGCAGTGGGGGCCGTTTTGGTCTTTGAAAAATTGGCCTTTTTTACCAAACAGAGGTGTTTCAAATTTTGGATATGTAAAACGTTAAAAGTTACATCAGATCATGGGTGTAGTGGGGCCTGGTCAAGAAAAGTTGTGTGGAGTAGAAGACTTGGGGTTGAAAGCTGAGAAAATGTTACGTGGTTGGTTAACTTGGTTTCGTCCATTTTATTTATTACCGCTGGTAAATTTAAATTTTGAGATTATGTGATCATAAAGCATAATAAATAGTGTGATTGGAGATAAAAAAAATTTAAACTTCTCCTTATATTTTGTCTAAGCATTCATTTAGGGAGCCAATTAGATGCTCTAATTTCCTGGATTATACAGATAGAAGTTGGCGGATGTGTGGATTTAATTTGATGAAGGTCATTTTTTTTTGACAAGATAACTGCGGCTTCTGTGGTCGTCTATTGGCTGTGAACTATGTGCATGCATAATCAAGTAAGGGTTCGTGATGGGTCATGCATGCCTGGGGCAAAATCTTGTGTCAAACGCGTAATAGAGTGTTTGTAAGTTTACGTTTCTCTATCCGCATTCAAGTGCATGTTAAATTTGAGGAGACTCCCACGCATATATAAAATATATGTAAGTTGTAACAATATACATAGGGTTAACATTATGAAGGTTGATAGAGAACAATTAATTATTCTTCGATAATACATAGCATTAGGTGATACAAAAAATAAATGGTTGAGATTGAAAATAAAATATTTAATAGTTGTATAGATCAAATTTAACGGGTAAGACACCAGTAATCACTAAGTGCTATGTACTATTAAAGCTACACTTTTTTTTTTTTAAAAAAAGATGACAATTGGTGATTTTACCACGACGGTCCGTTCTTCTCTAAAGGCCAAAAAGACTCATAGAGGCATTTCCACGTCCTCGGCCTTTGTCATAATCGTATAATTCACCAACACTAGGGATCCTCTCCGGATCCCTTCCTCTTAATCCACCATGTCCGGAGATCTGGGCTGTTGAAATTTGATCAAATGGCTAAAGTTATTATAACTTTTAAAATGGGCCCTGGTTTGTAGCCGTAAAATCAAATTTCAACGGTCCAAATTTCTGAACTTGAAGAATTAGAAGGAAGAGATCCAGAGAGGATCCCTTTCCGCTAAGCTCCTAACATTTTAATTCCAAATGGCATGCGTGATGATTGGGTACGTTATCTATTGCCTTGTATTCATGTTGTTCAACATATACACTCGATAACTGCATCTACATAAGACTTATAGTGATGATTTGGTTCCTTTTTCAGGTAAAAGTAGTCTCTCGCAACCACGCTTTTCCTACATTTCCCCGATTGCATTAAACCGACATCAAAATCTAAAACAGTGTTTTTTCTTTTCATTAAAAACACCAAAAAAGCAGAGACTCGATTTTCCGCTTTACTCCTATCATCTCCTTATATATATGGGTCTCAATCACTAGTTTCGCCACGTATAGCTCAAACTCCATTATATGTTTACATGGCACTCGTTGTCGATGGGTCGAGCTTCCGAGAGCCTGTTGGGCGGCCTATTCTTAGACACATGCCACCTTTGATTTTTAGAATTTAAAATTGATAGAAGTAGTTCATGAGATTTGAAATCGATAGAAGTAATCTCTGAGTTTGTTTAACATCAATCATTTTGATCGTTTCGTGAAATTTTATGTTAAATAAGGATCCAAATGATAAAAATACACTCAATTTAATAAACAAAGGTCTAAAATGATTTGACAAAATTGAGGATATTTTATCATTTTATCCTTACTTAATGGAGATTTTTCACAAGAGGACCAAAATGAGTGATAGTGAACGAACTCAGGGACCACTTATATCGATTTCAAACCTCAGGGACCAAAATAAAGAATTATGTCAATCTCATGAACCATTTTAGGTAAAAAAACATATATTTTATAATGTAATTAGAACAAAATATGGTACATCTTCTGTCGTAATATAAAGACAGAGACTTCGAAAACTATATTATCATTTGATTTATATTTGAAACTTGGTGACCACCTTATAATGCAAGGACAAAAAGTGTTAAAAACTTTTGCATTTTGATCTTCTCATTTTATCAAATGCTATTTTAAACATAAAAACGAGACATTTTAATATTTTTGGCTTGAGATTGAAGATTAAAAACAAGAAGTCTAATTTCAAAAGCATTAAATGTATTTTTTTGAAAAAAAATAACACGTTCCTTTTGCTGAAAAAAGAAAAAGAAAAAAAGAAAAAAAAGGATCCAACACCGAAACTAGTGTTAATGTTGCTAACATTTCTTCCAATGACAATGAATATTTTCATAAGCTCAATTATGGAAAGAGGATCTGGTGTTATTGAAATTGTCATTTTTTCTTTCCGCATTCCTCTTTTTGTTCTCACTCGTTGGTTTTCTTTGATTTATTCAATCATATTGCTATAAAAAAGTGCATCAAAAAATAAAAATACAAAAATCATTTCACTAAATAATAAGTCCCACACACACAAGTAATTATATATCGAAATTTAAACAGAATGAACAAGAAATAGGATGAATGCTCGCATGGTACACGGTAGAGTTGCAGAACACAAATATATAGGATGAATGAATGCCCAGCAGCTCAGCATAAAATATTAATAATTGATCTCTTTTTTTTTCAATATATTTTGGCGGAAATTTGGAAGGATCTGTATTGTCTGCTCTCACCATTTTGTACTCTTCTCATCCCCTCTTATTGGTTAACTTACGTTAATATTTTTTATTCTCATTATTTTTTATCTTATTATTTCTATAAAAAAATCAATATAAAATATTGACGTGGTTTAACCGTGATCACAAAATATAAGAGAGCAGACAATCCAGGTCTAATTTGGAAATGTAAATTCCAAAATGACAGTCGCAGTCGCGGACCAATGATGGCTTCCGGACAGCCCTTTGCCGTTTCCCAAACGCCAAAGTTTAAAGAGAAAATTAAATAATATATAATGATGAACACAATCTGATCCGGACCTCCAATTATCAAACATTTTCATAATTAAAGTGCAATGAGATTATTTTTCGAGTGCCTACATGCCAAGTATTTCTGAATCGGGATTCTTTTTGCGAGAGGATTTCAAGAATTCGTGAATTTTATAAGTTTATCGTACATTGTACGGTAAAAAATTACTTAAATTTTTTTTATTTAAAATTAAATATAAACAGTACATAACATAAATTGACCGTACGATGTACGATAAACCGACAAGATTCACAGATCCCCGAATTCTCACAAAAAGAAACAGAAAAGAAACCTGTTGAAGTATTTTTACCTTTCTATCTCGTAACTTAAATAAAATGAATTTGTCGTTATTGTAAAATTCTATGTAATATGTAAGACATTATGCTGGGAGAACCGTCATGTTCGGTGAAATGTTCCATGAAAATCCGTTTCCTATGTAGCTCCCATTGATTCAGCAGCGACGCTAGTGGTCTTGTTTATAAATACATTATTATTAGTACTAATTCATGCCAATTATCTTGTGTCTTTCTCGATGGACATGTATAAGTGGAAGATTTTATCATAAAAAATTTTGGTGCGATTATTACATGTTATATTTTGTCTATCTTTCTGATGCATAGTTCTTGCATTATTTCAAATGAAAACTAACGAAAAATCCAAAAAACCTTTAGTTTTAATGAAAAATGACAAATAAAATTGTAGTGAATAGTACTATGAAAAGGTAAAAATGTGATTTTTCGTTAAAAGTGAACAATACCAAAAGTGTTTCGTTAAAACTACCTTCTTTCAATAGAAACGTGTGTTACGATTCAAATTAATCTGAAGTCAATTTGCTATTCTTTCCCTGCTATGTAACCAATGAGAAATGGTGAAAAAATGAGTTGTTTGGGTTCGAATCCCTCCAATGTAACCAGCATACATGATCATGTCGATCTTCGAGATTGGTAAACGATGGCCCAGGAAACAGTTGGGTTACAACCGTATCATAACGGGCTATGGTACTGTAATCATATGGTGTAACTACAAGCCATGCCCAAACTTTTTCAACCCAATCTGGTTGTTGCATGTTCTTCTTGTTGTCCATTTTTCGATAGCAACGAAGGATGAAGCGCAGAAACTCACTTTATCAACGTGGCATTGCATTATTCAATCAAAACGCCCAAGTAGCAGTGAACTCGCTTCATGTAAATTGCTATCGTTTGGCTGGGCTGACGAGTTGGAATTATTGAGAAACAAGAGCTACTCTACAGCTGGTAAAAACGAGCAATCTACTAACATGACAATCAACACGCAAATGTATTTACAGGAAACAAAACATCTGAAGTTCCAAATACAGTGGCCAAGAAACCAAACCAGACAGTCAAGTAAATATGCCACTTCGTCTTGTTCATTAGGCAGAGTGATATCGAAAAAATGAGGAAGGTAAACGACTTCAATACAAAATAGCAAGACAAAACTGAAGTACCATAAAATAGCATAACATATCACTAAACTCAAGGTTAAAAAAAGGGAAACAAAACCATTCCTATGATCTGATAGTTTCCTCTAGCCGGTTTAAAAAATGGCGCAGCTACAAAATGCTCGTAAGAACTTTATGCCAACGAAGCAATA